TGGACTTTCCATCTGAAAACAGTATGGGACACACTGGATAATGTGCTGAGTTCCTCAGACAAGTGCAACATAAACTGGCAGCAAGAAGACCTAAAGGGACCATCAGAGCCTCGGGCAGCGATCTGTGTAGCTCTTGTGTGCAGAAGATCACATACCCAGGGCATGCAGATTTGAGGCCAGGAACACGCTTAGGAGCTGGACTCACAGTTCGTGATACACTGACGTCTGGGGCTGGGCTTCGCCGGGACCCCCACCCTTCTGGGAGGGTTGCTTGGTTGACGCGGGCAAGCCTGGTTTCTCCAGCACGCGGCGGTCAGCGCTCTGCCCTGTCTAGCTGTGGGCACCCTCCGCTCTCACCTGACACCACTTTCTCTCTCACTCTCCACACCCCTGTGTGCTCTGCTCACTCCCTACCCAGGGCCTTTGCACAGCAAGGCGCCTCCATGTGGGGATCCCAACTTCCTCACAAAGTCCAAGTCTAGGGCCCCACTCAGTTCCAACCATGCTGTGAAAACAAAAACATGAGAATGAAGAGTTCATACAAGTACCAACATACACTGACTGCCCGCTCTGCCCGGGTCTGTTCTACCTGATTCGTGTGGCTCTACTTCACACCGAGTCTTAGAGAGCTTTGCCCGATCCTGTCTGTGAACATATGATGAGCATCCATTCTCTGTGCCTGTCGACTCACTAGGGGACGGGGCGCACCATCCGGGGTGTCCGTGTCCCGAGGGTCCCCCATCCTTCCGCCCCCTCGCAGATGTCCCTGAGGGTGGTGGTCTCGCTCCGTACAGCGCTGCCCTGGCTGAGCTTTTCAGGTGTTGTCTTGCCAGTGGGTTTCAGCCCCGGGCAAGTTCACTGTGGGTTCAGTGTGACCAAAGAAATGACAGTAGAACGTTTCTTTGGGGTGAAAGGGTTTATTCGGCGTGTTCTCCCAGGGGTACATCAGGCACTAGCCTCTCTGCCTCCGCCCAGAGCGCTGGGCCGCACTCTCTGTATAGCGCAGTGGCAGCTTACTGCCCACGGGTGTGAAGCAGACGCCCAGCCACAGGCAGCTACATCATCAGGTGGTTCAAGTTCAGCGAGGACCCTGGCCGTAGGAACCCCAACTGCCCCACAGGTGTCTAAGCCCCCAGGCCCTCCACAGGCTCGGCAGCAGGCGCTCTCACGTGTTACTGTGCCTTAGAAGACCCGTGCCTGGCTCCCACCCCGCTGAGGACCTTCTCCGGGCAACTGGGGCCTGCCCTGCAGAGTTGGGGGGCCTCTGCCCAGGGACCGCTTACCGCACACCTGCCAGGGGGCGTTCGTCCCCGTGGGCCCCTCTGTCCCCTGAGCTCCCACGGGGCCGGCCTCCAGGTGCCCACAGAGGGCCTGCCTCAGGAAAGTGCCCTTTCTTGTCTCTGTTCCCGGCCGTGCCCCACTCCAGCTCTTACATGCCAGGTGTGGAGAAAGTGAAGGTTCCTGTGGCCCGGATTCTCACCTGGCCCTGGCTGGCTTGCTCACTACACACTTATGGGCAAAACGTTGTCATTGACTCTATGTAAAGAGCTCCACCCAGCGCTCTGGGCTGCTGCACGGCCGCAGGAGAGCAGAGGCTGGAGTGGTGGCAGCACCGAGGACAGAGCCTGGGACAGCTGAGGGCAGAGAGGCCCAGAGGCAGCGACCGGCTTGCCACATGCAGACGCGCTCTGAGTGGACGGGATTCTAGTGCCTAACCTGCCACGGTGGGAATAAAACTGGGTACAAACCTTTTCACCCCAAGAATGTTCCCCTGTCATTTCTCAGTCTCACCAAATCAAGAGTGAAGTTACCTGGGGCTGAAACCCACGGGCGAGGGAGCATCCTTGCAGCCCCCGCAGAGCTGAGCAAATGGGAGGCACTGTGATGTACCACATGGCTGGGCATCGGGCCTGGTGGTATGGTTATTTTATTAAAATAACCCAAGGAAGAAAACACAAGGGGACCAAGAGCGGAAGTCATGAAAACGGGCAGAGAATGCGACTGTGTGTGGTCGCGGGGGGACCAGCGGTGCACGAGCTGAGGGGTCTCACGGGGCCTCCGCGTGAGCTTTCGCCTCCTCCGGGGTGCTCTCCGCCTGCCCTGTGCATATTCTGATCTAATGACTGTGAGGAAGATCTTTAGAAACGGCTGCCGTGAGTGAAGGATCTCTGGGTGCTGCCGGCGGTGTGTTTTTTCCTCGTGGTTTGCTGGTATACACGTGGCATCCCCCAGGCCAGCCTCATCGCCCGTCCCCCCTGCTTGGTGGCAAGGTGCCCACAGCCACTTAGACCCACGGAACTCCCGCTGACAGAGGAGGGAATATAAAAAGAGCTGGGCTGTTTTTGTCGGCTCTGTAATTTGTCTGAATTTTTAAAGTCTATTTTAATCAAAATGGACTGATTATTTTGGTGCCATGAAGCCACAACTTGCAATTTACAGTGTGGTTCTCTTATGCTTCTAAATAAACACCTGTGAAGAGGCGGGGGGTGCCCTGAAATGTAGCTGTTTGCTCCCTGTGGATCGTGGTGTAGCTCTCAGATGTTTCCAGCGCACCTGTGCCCATGGCGATGGGCCGCGTGGCACCGGCTTCTGCAGACCCGCTGAGCTCACCTCTCTAGCCGCTGGCTTCCCATTGCTGCCACGACGCAGATCGGTCACTAACGGTCATCAGAACCCCTGGGGTCCGGAGGTGTGAGGAGGGCGCCTCCCCCTGGGCAAAAGAACAAATGAGGCCCACGGGTACGTGGATGGCCAAGTCGCTCGCACCTGCCCACAGCTCGCAAGGCTGGAATGCGTGCCCGCTGACCAAGCATTTCTGTGATTTAGCAAGACTTTAACAGCTCCAAGGCCACGTCTATCCTTTGTAAAGAAGAAAAACAAAACTAGTAGCAACAGCTATTTCCAAAGCTGTTGGGCGGGTCCAGCCAGCCCAGGTATGTAAAACTCTTAGTAAGCTAACACACACCCGAAACAAAAAGCCACAGGAGCCACAGACCTAAACACTCGACCCAAAGGTGTGGTTCCTGTGAGAGGCTGTCCACCTGTCACATCTGGGCTGCTCAGCCTGGAGCCCCATAGCTGAGGTGAGGCCGGAGTGGCTGTCCTTTCCACCCTGGTCCCACTTCTCAGCAGGTCTCCAGGCCTGGCCGGTCCTGGCCTTGTCCTGCAGGCCTGTCCCTTCCCGGGCCATGTCAGAACCCCATGCCCAGGCCTCTTCCAAGTGCAGCTCCGCTGTGCCACCAGCCAGACCCTCCGTGTCCCGCCCCCAGGGTGAGGGTCTGGGCACCGACGGGCTGATCCCCAGCTCCTCCTGAAGATGCGCAGTGGTGGAGAAGGAGTCTGCCGGGCAGCACAGCGCGTCCCCCTCACAGACAGGAGGTGCAGACCTCCAGCAGGCTGCCCACGGAGCCTCCCACAGCAGCCCTCGGCTGGCCTCACTGTGACTGGGGCATTCCTGGGGCTGCGGGGCCCCTGCTCTACAGACGTGAGGGTGGTGATTTCCATCTCCCTTTGTTGTTGGAGAGGCTCCGTGGGAGGTGATGCAGCTCAGTAAAGAGAATTGAAGTTTAACAGGCACGGCTCTGGAGGGGGTGCTGGGGAGATGAAGGGCAGCTGGATGCCCCAGGCAGGCCGCCCACCTGGGGAAGGAGCTGCTCCCTGCAAGCCCCCGAGCCCTGACCTGCTAGGATGCGCATGGGTGTGCGTGCACACATGCAGAGGTGGACGGGTGTGTGGAGATGGTGCATCCCCCACTCCCATCCCAGGGCCCTCTGGGATGGCCCTTGTTTGATTTGCGCCTGTCAGAATTCGCCTGTTTCCTCTGACAACTAGTCAGAAGTCCTACCAGGAAGCTTCTGTCATTGCACTGCAGCCCTGTCTGCACACTGATTAGAGGTTCAGTATTTCCATGTTTTATGTGCATTTAATTAACTAAAATAGGAAGGGACGCTGTGGCCTCCTGCGGGCTTCCTCTGTGTTGCTGGGAAGGCTCAGGGTGGCACGTGGGCACTGCTGGGGGCTCTGTGTCTGCGCCCTTCGACCGCCTCTAGCCTGCCCAGGAGGCCTCATGTGTAACAAAGGGAGTTAGGATGCCTACTCTCAGGAAGAAATGCTCCGTTCCTTTTTAGAAAACAAAGTCTGGAGTAAAACACCACTCGCCTCTGCAAACAGGGAGCCCGCAGACGGACTGGCCCTGGTGAGGGACGAGTCAGTGTGGGTGGGTCATGTTCTGCAGGGGGCGGGGGCGAACAAGCTCACGATGGGGGCCCAGCAGGTGGGACCTGCCCCTGGGCATCTGGAGGTGCAGCCTCCTTTTGGTGTCCCCAGGCTCTGTGTGCCCTCTGCAGGGGGGCTCAGCCAGTGACCCCCATGCTTGGGGAGCATTTTAGAATCGCCTGAGCTGCTTTCTAAAAATCCCTGCTGGGTCCCCCGACCTCCTGTGTCGGAGTCCCCAGGAGGCTCTGTCCGGGTCTGTGCTGAGCCCCTGGGGAGTGACCCGGTCACAGAGGAGCCGCCAGCTCCTCGGGAAGCAGCCAAAGCTCGGAGGCTGAGGCCAGAGTCCAGGGGGATGACGGGGGCTCCGGACAGCCCCTCCCTGGCGCCGGCCCTGCGTGTCCTGCAGCCCAGCATGAAGTTAGGCTGAGGAGTGGAACCCACACTGTGGCGTGCCCCCCGAGAGGGCTCCATCCTGCCCCCCACACACTAAACCTTTATCCTTTTCTATCCACCCCTGGGTCCCAAAGGCCTGTGAAATCCTCCGCTTCTGGAGGACTTTATTTTCCATGGAAAGGCCCATGAGTCCGATGCGAGGATGGTTCCTACTGGATCGGGCGCTCCTCCCTGGCTGCGGTTTTCCCCCGGGGGGAATCTGCTCTCAGGCAATAGCAAGAGCTGCCTTCCCGGGAGGGTGGCCCGCGCAGCCTGGACACCCCCCGGGCGCCACACAGCGGCCCCGTGACCGCCTCTCTGGCTGACCCTGCGCTGCTGGCTTCTGTCTGCAGAGCAACTGCTCCAGCGACACAGAGAGTGAGGACGGCTTCCTCGTGATGCCGCCGCGGGACCACCTGGGCCTCAGTGTCTTCTCCATGCTCTGCTGCTTCTGGCCTCTGGGCATCGCGGCCTTCTACTTGTCCCACGAGGTAAGGCCTCCCGCGGGGCACGCACGCAGGCGCAGCCAGGCTTATGAGGAGGGGCAGGACCCGAGCATCCATTCAGCTTGTGCTGCCCAAGGGGTCTGCCCGGCGCAGCCGGAGAACAGGCCTGGGGCCGGGAGCTCGCCGGTGGTGGGCCGGCCCCGGGCCCTGCAAGGCGGGCAGTGTTCAGGGAGAGGGTGCAGGACAGAAGCGGCTCCAGTGGGGAAAGAGTGGACAGGCCGGGACGCCGGGCCTGGGAGCGGGCCCTCAGGTGCCAGCTGGACTGGCCACTCGCCGGGAAACACCATGCCCAGGGCAAGAGTGCTGGCTTACTGAGGAAGGGGGTGTGGGCTGTGCCCTTTGTGAAAGGCTCAGTCCCCTAGAATGAGTTTCACAGCCCTGTGTGCACTCCTCAGACTGATGTTCTGCAGCAGGAAATGGCATTTCATAGGCGGTGACCCTGCCCCCTTTGTGCACTGCAAGGGCTTCTAAGGGACCGGTTCCCCTGCAGGGCACCCTCCTGGCTGGGGCTTCACGGAACCAGGTTGGGAAGATTATTTTCTGGCAGATGAAGAGAATTTGTTCAGAACTGATGTACCGATCAGAGGACATTCGCTCTCGCGGCTGCAGAGTGAGGTGTGAGCGCCCACTCCCGCCCCCATGACCCCGAGCCGACCACAGGGAGAGGCGGCTCCTCGGTCACTGGAGGGCATGGCACCTGCTCACGGGCGCCCCCAGGGCACAAGCGATGCCCCTCAGTGCCCAGGTTTCCTCTGCGGCCTCCAGGACCTGGACTGGGCTGCCCACAGCTGGTGCAGCTCATATGCCTGGAATGCTGGTTTCTCTTGGCTTGGAAACGGACCCCTGGGTCGATTCCCACTGTGGCCTCTCTGCTCTTGCTGGTTTCTGTGTCAGTTTGGTTTTGTTTGGTGAGAGGAGTCTGTTTGCGCACTTTCCTGTCCCCTGCCTGCCCTTTCCTGATGCCACCGAGCAGGGGGGAGCGGTGGTGCCACCGTCTCCTGGGCGGAAACACCGAGAGGCAGAGACCCTTCCCGGCCCAAGCAAAGACAGGCCCGCTCAGGGCTGCCTGAGGTCCCAGTTCTGGCGGCCAGTTCCTGGGAGCCAGTGGGGCGTCCGCACCACAGGGTGGCCTGAGCGGCGGTTCCATGCCCGGCTTTGCTCTGGAGGGTCTGTCTGGGCTGCTTTTCTGTGAGCTCCGTGAATGCCATCGGTCCCTTTCCCTGGGACACAGCACGGGACGTAGCGCCCCCCGCCCAGGTCTGCAACGGCCTGGGTGTACCTGGACCCTGAGGAGAGGACCTGGGTGCTCACATGCTGAGGGCTGGGATGCCCAGAGGGACTGGAGAACGGGGCACAGACAGATGTCGGGTGCGCCAAACATGCTCCTCCCATGGTGGCACCCGGCCTGGGTTGGCTGCCAACAGGCAAGGCAGCTTCAGTACCCAAGGGAAGTCCAGGAGCACAGAGCAGAGAGAGCTGGGTCCTTGTGCTCACGGGCCACCCAGGCTTTGCCCACCACTGAATGTGCAATGTCACCCCTCTCCTGAACCCTGGTCCTGCCGCACCTAGTGGGGCAGGATGCCTCCCGCGGGCCATGCCCACTGAGAACACCTTGCACCTGCCCTGGCCAGGGAGCACGTCAATGTCAGAGCTGTACTTTGACTGCCTGAATTTATGGGACTGACACTTTCATCATGAATTCCACTGGGAGGGTGTTACCCGCTCCAAGAGATGCGCGTAGACAGTGGTATGAACGTGCGGCAGGAGCCAGGGTCAGCGGGGCGGGCACCCACCTACTGTCCCTGTCCCTGGCTGTTGCACACACTCTGGAGTGAGGCCCCGTCGCAGGGAGGCACATCTGTCTGCAGCCGGTAGTTAGAATAAACATCAAAGCCACAGTTGCAGGCTGGCATTCAGATTCTCTTTCTCAGAAAGTAACTTTATTCCTCACACCTAAAGAAGGCCTTAGACTTGGGCTGACAAGTCGCGGTGTTTAGTACCTTCGGCGGCAGAAATGTCGCTGGTTTAACTGCGAATACGGTGCAGCTTCTGTGGGGGCCCCTGCATACCCCCCGCCCCAGGCTCTCGGTGCCTCTCCCTCGTGCTGTGAGCCTGGGGTGCCCTTCAGTGGCCCTGCAGAGAGGAGGTGCCACTTCTCCAGGAAGCCATCTCTGGAGGTGGGTGCCCTTCTGGGCGGGGCCCCAGGCTCAGGCCCGTGCAGCCTCACCACCCATGGCTGTGGTGGTTCTGGGCTTCGCGGCAGACGTGGGAGGCAACCAGCCCTGGCACAAGGCACCCCAGGCCAGCCGGGGGCCACGAGGTCTGCAGCTGGCACCTGAGGGGCGCAGGCAGCTGCCAGGGGTGAGTGAGCCGCACACAGTGGGACAGACACACGCTGAGGCATCACAGTAAACCGGACCCGTGCCCTCCCCGTGCCTTGCGCTGCCCTGAGGAGGTGCAGCTCGGTGAGGAAGCCAAGACCCCCAATTCCGAGTCCTTTCATAAGGAAATCTTTGACGTCGAAGTGTGGCCTTTCCCTTCTCCTATCACAGATCATCTCTCAGTGTAGCCACTGGCGTTAGATGGTGTCTGTGCACTGTCAGAACAACCACTCTGAGGCCATTCCAGGAGAACAGAACAAAACCAAACAGCCTTCAGTGGCTGGAGGGCGTTGTGCAGCGATGAGGTGAACAGGACCCCCGGACTCACAAAACCCAGGGTATGTTCTGTTCTGTCCTCATCCAGCCGGGGCCTGGTGAGCAGGCAGCTTCGCCATGCCCGTGACTCTTGGTCCATAAACGGCGGTGAAATAAGCCACGTTTTGGAGCCAAGCAGGGTCAGGGAAGTAAAGTCAGACTGAGCGTCCCACCGGGTTTCTGGAAAGTGGTGGGAGCTGACCACACACTCCTGGAAACCCCAAGAGTCAGAACATGTGGGTCCCCAAGTGAGGGGCCCTGGAAGGAGACAGGTCCTTCCTCCAGCAGATCTGATGATGAGAAAGAGGTGTTAATTAAGTGTTAGCAATGAAAGTTTTGTGAAGTGGGCAACATCTGCTGCACCGACTAGGTGCTGGTCTGTGTTAAATACCCGGCGCCTGGCTTCCCAGGGGGTCCTGCCAGCAGCAGGGTGTCCACCCCCAGACCTGAAGAGCAGAGCCTCCAGGGTGGGGCCTGGGAACCTGCGATTGAACAGACCCTCCTGTTGGTCCCCACGCTGCCCGAGCTTGAGCGGTGCTCTCCCACGCGCATGATCCCGAAGGACATCTGCCTCTCGTCGCCCTGTGGGCCGTGGACCCCGGGCTGTGAGGTCCGCCTGGCTGGGAGCCACCTCCGGAGGAGGCAGCTGGCTGAGCCCGACATGGTGAAGGACGCAGCGTGGAGGCTGGTGGGGGAGACCGGGAGAAATGCTCATCCACGACTTCATTTTACTCCAACGGCGTTATAATTGTTTAGTCCAGCTCCCGATGCAAACCCAGTTTTACAAACCAATTTATAGGGGAAAGTGTCTTGTGCAACTCTGGTAGATTCATCTAGGAGGGATGCTTCCCATCGATGTTGAGGGTAGAAATGAATCCACAATCTGTTGAGGAACTGCTGTGAGCTAGTAAATGCACACACCTTATCTTATTTAATCTTTTCAATGAGTCTGAAAGGTGGGAAATTGTTACTCCATTTTGTCGATGAAATAAACAGAAGTTTCAAGGGATTAAATAAATCAGAGAGGTAGCGAGTATGGGTACATGATGCAAATATCGAAATTTCTAACTCCTGAAATCCAACTTTCTGCAACAAAACTTTGACTTTGATCTGTTTGCAAACAAGAAATAGAAGCAAAGTCCTTGTTTCTAAAGCCACTGACCGGCCCACACCCCTGCCCGCCCCTCCCCACTGCTTGGGGCGCAGCAGGGGAAGGAAGGGAAGCCCACTCCAGGCCGGACTGCGGCACAGCCCTCAGCACCTTCACTCAAGCCCGGGGGGCAGGTGGGACCTGACGCGAAGGCCCTGTCCTGAGGCCTTGGGTCTGGAACTGGGCACCGGCGGGCCTGGGGGCTGCATCACACATCTGCACAGACGACTTCTGCTTGGAGCCTTTATTATGTCTTCATTTCATTTCATTTCATAAAATGTCTCTCTCTTTCACTAACTGCAACAATATAACAATAATTAAATGAGAAAAGGGTATTAAAAATCAGATTATGATTTTTATGAATAGCTCCAGCAAAGAGAATTGGACAAATTAGGGAAAAAAGAGAATCTCTTTATGGCCTTAAGACCCAGAAAAAACAGAGTCCCACGTGGCCGATAACAGCACCTGTGAGACCCACTCGCTCGCTGATGTCTGCTGAGCGCCTGCTCCGCGTCAGGCCCTGGTCTGGGAGCAGACGCCCACCTTCATGAAGCTGACTTCCTCGTGGTAAGAGGCAGGAAATGAACAGAGTGCCCCAGAGCAATACATCATAAAGACGAAGATCAAGTCGGAAATGGACACGGCGCATACCGTTAAATAGGGCGGTCGCGGAAGGGCTGGCTAGGAGGATGACATTTCATCATAAAACCGGGCAGACCCCAAGGATCCCTTGAGGGAGAGGTTTTTGCGCAGAGGGCAGCCCAGGCAGAGGCCCTGAGGGGGGAACGTGCCTGTGTGAATAAGGGGGACGCGGAGGCCAGTGTGTCACAACAGGGCTCTTGGGGAGAGGGAAGGAGGAGAGGGGACAGAGGACTCGAGACGTGGATCCCTTTTAGGCTGGAGCAGTGACGGAGGCTCTCTCTCTGGGGCATTTGAGTGGAGCAGAGGCACCGTGTCCACCCTCTAGCAGGGGCTCTAGGCTGGAGGGTGGTGCGGTCACCCAGGGGACGCAGCCATGGTCCAGGCCACAGTCATGCCGGGAGCTTAGTGAGAAGCAGGGAGACAAGGGTGGCTTTTGGAAGAAGGGCCAACAGGTTTCAGCTGTGGTCGTGAGACAGGAGGGAAGGGACAAAGCCCCG